ACTTTATAATTGGATACTCAGGCACCCACTGACTTCTGGTTTTTTTATTAAATCATATAAAAATGTACATAATTGTTGCTTGAGATACTGATAGATGTGAAAACTTAAAAACAAACTTATATTAATTATTATTCATAATTAAAAATAATACCTTCTTAATTTTTGATGCTACAATAATTCAAAGAAAACAGAAAAAAATATAGCATCTTTTTAGTTTAAGCTTTTACTTTTCCTGACAGTCCTCAGAGATAGCCCGTGTTTTCCCCTAATCAAGCAATAAAATAAATAAATACACACGCGTTCGCGCGCGCGCATTGAGGAGAAAGATCTTATGAAGATCTTATCGAGAAATAGGACGAGCACAGAAAGAGATATTCATTAAATAATTATTTTATAAGACATTAATTTTCAACAGAGACATATCGACGCTCCAGACGAAGACTATGCCTTTTTTGTTCCCGGTCAAAAACTATACGTTTTCGATGTTCTGGGCGAAGACTTCACCCTTTTTTCTAGTCTAGACGAAAACCAGGCCCATTTTGGTGCCAGACAAAGACTATGCCCTTTTTTTTTGAGTCCGGGCGAATAATCTGCCTTTTTCTCAAGAGGCTCAAAGGACTAAGCCCGGACAAAACTTATTCTCTTTTTTTTTGGTCCTGGATGACGATAATGCTTTTTTTTCGAATCCAGATAAAATTTTCTTAGTATATTTTTGAAGCTATAGTTTTATAGGTGCGTAATGCGTGAGAATAAATGAACGATTTTTAATTGATGACCTTGAGAAAATGTGTAACGGAAGTGGATTTTTGTACCTCCCTCTCCCTTCGTTAATTTTTTTAGTTAAATAATTTTTTTTCATCTTAGAAATAAGTATATTTTGAAAGAGCGTAAGTGATAAAATGAACTGTATCAAGCTTTTTTTTTCTTTTTTTTTTAAATAAATGTGTACAGTAAGTTGAAGGCTTAACACAAAGATTAAATAAAAAATTAGAAGATAAAACGAAATGTCACAGTCTCAAGAATAAAATCCGTTGGAAATCAAAAAGTGGATGGGAGTTTTACTGTAAGATACTTTAACTCAAAGACAAGTTAAAACTAATTAAAACCAATCGACAGTCACTAACAATTTTTGACTAGGAGATACAGCATCGAATTTGGTTTGTATATAGGATCCTTTTTAATATTATAAAATTAGCTTTAAATCCACTGAAATTTTGGGAAGTAAATAGTAGCATGAAAAAATTACTATCCCTAGTTTTTTGTGTTTATAACAAATTGTACTACTTACCAACACCTAAAAAGTTCAGCAAAGCCCCCCCCCCCTCCAAAAAAAAGTGGCCAAAACAGGTGTTTTGCTCCTAGAGAAAAAAATAAGAATCGTACAAAAAAAAGTAAAATAGAAAAAAGTTCCGCAATTCTAAGACAAAAAATGAAAAGCCACATTAAGCTCCAATCAGTTAAGCCATTTTAGCTAAAAAATTACGAAATACTGTCATTTTTGGCGCATTTTTGAATTTCAATAACTCGCTGTCTAATTAATATTTAGAGCTCAAGCTTATACCCAAAGTTAGTAATCATAGTCTTTAACATATGCACCGAATTTCAGCAAAATCGGTTGTAAACTTTTTGCGAACCGCTAAGAAAACTAAAAAAGGTCCTTTCGTAAAACGGCCATAAAAAAAGATTTGGCGCCGTCACCCTACTCCCAAGCCAAGTGAGCCGAGCACCAAGAACCGCTTTTTTAAGGATGTCAGTTGAGCTACAACCACTAATTTATTATTTTTCCTCATCATCATTTTTATGAATTGTAGGACAAGCTCTGGAGGTCATCAATGCGACTTCAAGATTTATCTTTTACGGAGTTTCGATAGCTAAGATGGTTAAGGTTTATGCCACTGCTCGTTTTGTTTTGCTATCTAAGGATTGATTCAAACTGTCGGCAGATTTTTTTTCTTTTTAATGTGATTTATGATTCTGGTTTAATTTTTTCTTATTCATGTTGTATTTAAATTTATAAATAATGTTACAAACACTTTTTTCCTATACGTCGAAATAAATATATTTTTAATACTAATTCCATTAAATAATTTGGTAAGTTGATACTTATCGTTGGCAAGGCCATTTCGTAATTTCATAATAATAAAATAATTTCT